AAATGTCATCGTTATTCACATAGACCTGTGGATCATAATGAACAGCGAATTTACCACATTCCTTCTTATTTTCTTCCAATTGTTGCACATCCCATTTATATTCTTCTTCTTCTAGAAACTTGACGTCTCGGCTGATATGAAGTCTCTTCACTTTAGGATCATAGAAACGATAAGCTTTTGAACCTGCTTCATATCCCACGAAAATCATTGGCACACTTCGGTCATGTAATTTTGTTAAATTTGGCTTTCTTTCTCTCCATTTCTCATAAGGAGTTGCTTCAATTACACTCTTCATTGGGGATCTATTAAGGATGTAGACAGCTGTCTTCACCGCTTCTGCCCAGAAATACATCGGCAAATTTTTGCACTTCAACATGCTTTGCACCATTGCAATAACAGTTTGGTTTCGTCGTTCAACCACACCATTTTGTTGCGGAGAATAGGGTGCTGTTAAATATCTTTTAATTGTTGAGATATGATTCAAAGTATTCAAAATGAAGATATGATTTAAAGTAGTTGAGATATAATTCAAATATTCAAACTACCAAGATTTTAGGAGAATTTAGGAGATTGTGAGTAGATTTGAATTTATCTAGATTTCCATGATTTACTATTTCTGTCCAGTGTATAAGCTATAAATACTGTAATTGTGTAACCCTCTAGGCATTGAGTCAGTAGACAATAATAAAGCACTGCAGCTTTCATCTATTTTATCTATTCCTATCTCTTTCACTATCCCTTTTTCCAACAATTTTGGTATCAGAGCCAAGTTCGTTCGACACGAGGGCGAGTGATTATTTTCTTTCACAAAACAAAAATGGCAGTAGCTGGTTTTTCTTCTTCTTCACCGTTACCTATTTTTAATGGTGAGAAATATGAGTGGTGGAGCACCAAGATGAAGACCTTGCTCAGATCGTAGGAGCTATGGGACTTGGTGGAGCACGGGTTTGTTGATCTATTAGAACCCATAATAGAAGAAAAGGAGAGACTAAGAGAAACCAAGAAAAACGATGCCAAGGCTCTATTCATTATTCAGCAAGCAGTTCACGAGACTATCTTTTCACGAATTGCAGCAGCAACCACATCAAAGCAGACATGGTCAATTCTACAGAAGGAGTTTCTAGGAGATTCAAAGGTCATGACAGTGAAATTGCAATCTCTAAGACGTGATTTTGAAACTCTACTCATGACGAATGGCGAATCAATTGCTGATTTTTTGTCAAGAGCAATGGCAATAGTCAGTCAGATGCGTACCTATGGAGAGAAAATTTCAGATGAAACAATTGTTGCAAAGGTGTTGAGATGCTTGACTCCAAAGTTTGACCATGTGGTGGATGCCATAGAAGAAGCTAAGGATCTATCCATACTCTCCGTTGATGAACTAATGGGCTCACTTCAGGCTCATGAGGCAAGAATCAACAAGCATCAGAAAGGAACGAAGAAAAGGCACTACAAGTGAAGGAGACAACCAACAACGAAAACAACGAAAGAGAAAATATTCATTTAGCAGGTAGAAGTCGTGGAAGAGGAGGATTTCGTAGCTTCCATGGTGGTCGTGATAACAGGAGTAGATGGAGAAGTGATGGACAGAGACAATTCAATGAACAAAGGAATGTCATACAATGTTGCCATTGCAGATGGTATGGGCACACAAAATCTGATTGTTGGTATAAAAATCAACGAATGAATTTTGCAGCAGAGAATGAAGAAGAAGAAGAAAAGCTATTTATGGCGTGCGTGGATACTAATCCGAAAAAAGGTGACTTATGCTTTGTTGATAGCGGATGCTCGAACCACATGACAGGTACCAAAACCTTATTCAAAGAGCTTGATGAGACGCAAAAAATTAAGGTGCAACTTGAAAATACAAAAGAGATGCAAGTTGAAGGAAAAGGTACAGTGAAAATCGAAACCAGTCATGGTAAGATAAAACAATTAGATAATGTTCAATTTGTACCTGATTTAGGGTACAATTTATTGAGTGTTGGACAATTGATGACAACACATGTGTCATTACACAAAAGAAATCAGGCCATAAAGTTCAAATTGTCGTGACTTTAAATAAGATGTTTCCACTGGATGTTTCTAACATGGAGGATTTTGCTCTTACTACTAGTACAAAAGATGACTCAACATTATGGCATCTCAGATATGGACATCTTCATATGAACGGCCTAAAAATACTCAGGGATAAAGGTATGGTTTTCGGATTACCAAGAATTGACTCTAATTTATGTGAAGGATGCATTTATGGCAAGCAGACTAGGAAGTTCTTTCCTGTTGGAAAAGCTAGAAGAGCTTCACATTATCTAGAACTAATTCATGCTGATTTATGTGGACCAATGCAAACGAAGTCCTTAGGTGGGAGTATATACTTTTTACTATTTATTGATGACTATAGTCGCATGAGCTGGGTTTACTTCCTACAACATAAGTCAAAAACTTTTCAGAAGTTCCAGATTTTTAAAGCTATGGTAGACAACCAAAGTGGTTGTCACATTAAAGTTCTTCGCACAGACAGATGTGGCGAGTTCATATCTAAAGAGTTCAATCTATTTTGTGAAGAAGAGGGTATCCAAAGGGAATTAACAGCTCCCTACACTCCATAACAAAATGGAATCGCTGAACGAAAAAATCGAACTATTGTGGAGATGGCAAGAAGAATGTTACAAGCAAGGAGACTTTCAAACCAATTTATACAACCCCATGGCAAGAAGAACCCATAGCAGCATCTGTTTATCTATTAAACATCTCACCAACAAAGACGGTTATCAATCGAACTCTTTATGAAGCATGACATGGAAGGAAACCATCTGTAAGTCATTTACGAATCTTTGGTTGTGTTGCTTATGCTTTAAAACATCCTCAAATTCGTCAAAAGCTTGATGAAAAATCTGAAAAAATGCATTTTCATTGGCTATTGTACTCAATCAAAGACATATAAATTATACAACCCCATGAGTGAAAAGATTTTAGTTAGAAGGGATGTAATATTTAATGAAAACATGAGTTGGGATTGGAGTAAAGAACAGGAGCAGCAAAAGATTACAGTTGAAGTTTCCCCAAAGGAAGAGACAAGGGTCAACTCTAGTGCATCTCCCAGTGCATCCACTGCAACACACAGTGTGTCAAATTCATCATCTTCAGCATCACTGAACAGCAATTCTTCTCTTGAAGAACTTTCAGATGAGACATCTCCAAGGAAATATAAATCTTTAGCTGACATATATGCATCATGTCAATTTACTCTTATTGTTTCAGACCCTATGAATTATGAAGAAGCAACTGAAAAAGAAGACGGGAAGAAAGCCATGGCAGTAGAGATGCAGTCCGTTAAGAAAGATGGAACATGGGATATGGTTGACCTACCAAACGAAAAGTTTTATGGAGATTTACAAGAAGAGGTTTATGTAACACCACTAGAGGGATTCATTGATATGAACCAAGAGACATCAATCATACAATATACTTCAATGAAGATGTGAAGAAAATGTTGTCAAAATTATCAAAAGAGGTTGCAATTCATGCCACATTGAAGAGAAATGAAGTTTGATGGTTATAAATTTTGAGTGGGTTACCATTTAGAGTTATTGTATTTCATTATTGTATTTTAAAACTTTTAATTTACTTTAGGTTACAATTACATAATGGTTAATTATGGCCATTAAGTATAAATGTTACAACTCTTGGAATGTCTTTAGTAGTTTCATTTTGAGGCTATATAAAGCCATGTATGTTGTATTTGTAAACAGACTTGAAAAATATAGTAAAAGAAGCATTTGTGGTCTTCTTTAGCCAATGACTAAGTTTCTTTGCAATTCTATGTAGTTTAAGTTGCATGTAGAATCATTCAAGCTCGACATGATCAATCTTGCTTGTGGAGTGATTCGAATCTCAATCAAGTGTTCTTGCATTGAGATATTTGATCAACAAGAATCATTCAAGCTAGACATGATTGATCTTGCTTGTGGAGTGATTTGAATCTCAAACAATGTTCTTGCCTTGAGATATTCGATCAACAAGGTAATCCGAATCTTATTCCCCTTGTAGTTGATTCCTTATCTTATCATTCATAAAGGAAGACAAAGAAACAAAGGTATACAAGCTGAGACAGACATTGTACGGGTTAAAGCAGACATACTTACGAAGACCTAGTCAAAAGAAAAGCTCTGTACTTGACATCTGCAACTTTGAATCAAGGGAGAGTATTGAGATATGATTCAAAGTATTCAAAATGAAGATATGATTTAAAGTAGTTGAGATATAATTCAAATATTCAAACTACTAAGATTTTAGAAGATTGTGAGTAGATTTGAATTTATCTAGATTTCTATGATTTACTATTTCTGTCCAGTGTATAAGCTATAAATACTGGAATTGTGTAACCCTCTAGACATTGAGTCAGTAGACGACAATAATAAAAGTGTAACTTTCATTTATTTTATCTATTCCTATCTCTTTCACTATCCCTTTTTCCAACATTAATCCTACTGCTCTCACAATATTCTTTGAACTCGATACTTGTAAATTCTCCACCTCTATCAGTTCTAAGCGCTTGCAATTTCTTTCCGGATTCAGTTTCAATTTTATTTTTTACACGTTTGAATCCCAAGAATGCATCAGATTTATATTTTAGCAATTCAATCCACATATATCTACTAAAATCATCTACCAACAACAAAAAGAATTTATTACCTCCATGAGTTGTTGGAGTAGTTGGACCTCACAAATCGCCATGCACCAATTGTAGAATACTAACGGCTCGAAAAATCGCTTGTTGTGGGAATGGTGTTCTTCGTTGTTTAGTGATTACACAACTATCACAAACTTGTTTGATCCTTTCAACATGCGGAATTCCTTTCACCATTTGTTTCGTAGACAGGTTTCTTAAAACCCCAAAATTCAAATGTCCATATCTAGCATGCCACAACCAAGAATCTTCAGACAACTTACCAAGTAGACATGTTGGTTTCGTTGTTTTTAGGTTAATTGTATATAGCCTATTTCTTGACCGCTTCACTTTTGCCAAGAACTCCTTTGCCTTTTGTGAAAATGACAAGTAAACCATGTTCGATCTCAACTTTACAGCCCTGTTCATCCAATTGTCCTAAACTTATAATGTTACTTTTAAGTTTAGGAATGAAATATACATCGAAAAAGATACAGTGATCTCCATTTTCACATTGCAGCATCACATCTCCACGTCCTTTTATCTCTACAAGTGATCCATCTCCGAACTTCACCGTGCTGGTCACTGACTCGTTCAATTCCAAGAACCAACTTCGACAACTAGTCATATGATTGTTGGCTCCCGTATCTAGGAACCAAGTGTTGTTTTTCTTCTCAATTTCTTTCGGGACAACCTTCTCTTCATAAAGAGCCATCTCCATCAACTCTGGTGAACCGAGAGTTCGGACTTCACAAACTTGTGCTGTAAGTAAGGCTGGCTCATCCTCATCACCTTGCGTCTCAGTCAAGTGCGCCTGATCCTCCCTTTTCTTCGATCTACAGTGGGATGCATAATGGCCAATCTATTGACAATTATAACACTTCACCTTCCGACATTCTGAGGCATAGTGGCCTAGACCTTGACAATTGTAGCATTTTACCTTGCTCTTGTCACCCTTCTTCTCTTGATGTAACGAGTCTTTTCCACGTCCATGACCTCTCCCTCTCCAGCGATCACTATGACCTCGCCCTCGGCTATGGCCTCCATTGTCGCTACGTTTTTTCTCAAACGTTGAACTTTCACCTTTTCCTTTCAATTCTTTTGCTTTCCATTCTCCTTGAGTCAATAAGACATGCTCAGCATTCTCTTTGTTGCCATCGATCCGTTCCTCGTATGCTTTAAGACGGTCGATGATTTCCTCCATGGTCATCACCTTTAAATCGATAAATTGCTCTATTGCCGATGCAATATGAAGAAACTTAGAAGGTACTGAGCATAGAAATTTTTTCACCAAGTATGCCTCTTCAAACTTGTCTCCAAAAGTACGTATTTTATTAACAACTCCTGTCAACCTTGCTGCATAATCATCAATAGTCTCGGACTCCTTCATCTTCATAATTTTGAACTCAATCTTTAGAGTTTGGATCTTTGCCTCCTTTACACGTTCAGCACCGACATGAATAGTTTTTAATGTCTACCATGCTTCTTTTGCTGTCTCTTTCTCTGCTAACAAAAACAACATCTCCTTAGGGATTGCTTGATAGATAGCTGCTAAGGCCATTTGATCCTTCCTTTCATCAAGACTATCCAGAGACTCAGTTGATTCGATTGCGTCCCACACCCCTTGAGCACGCAAATAGACCTTCATCTTCATAGCCCATGCAGAGTAGTTGGTTCTCGATAACGTCGGGTATTGGAGTGATATCAGACCTTCCTTTGTTGCAGACTTCGACGACTCTCCTCTCTCTCCAATGTTGTTATTATTTCTCGGCATGATCTTTGGCATGTAACCACGCTCTGATACCAAATGACAGAAACACACATATCAGAAGGTGATTTTTGCACAATAACGTTATTCTCTAAAAGAGACAGTACTTAGAAAATAAACAAAACCAACTTACTTATTTTATTCAACTTGTTACACAGTACATATATAGACAGAAAGAAAAACTAACTTCTTACAATCATAGCTACACATTAATAACTGCTAATAACTTCCCTTGATCTTAGCCACAAATACTAAAACTGGCATAATTTAAAATACAAATGAATTACGGTTAATACAAGATTAAATAAACTAACAACACCTCCCAAAAGTCGGAGAATATGACGCCATCTTGGTTATCGTAGACCGGTTCTCGAAATATGCGACGTTCGTCCCCACCCCTAAATTATGGCTCGGCTGAACTAACAGCCCAACTATTTTTCAAACACGTTGTAAAGTTATGGGGCATTCCGTCGAGCATCATCAGTGATATGGATGGTAGATTCATTGACACATTCTGAACCGAATTATTCGCCATCTTGGGAACGACTTTAAACATCTCCTCGAGCTATCATCCTCAAACCGATGGACAGACGGAATGGTTCAACTGCTTGCTCGAAGAATACTTACGTCACTTCGTCGACGCTCGCCAGAAGAACTGGATACAACTGCTAGATATCGCCCAATTCTGTTTCAATTGTCAAACGAGCTCGTCTACGGGAAAGAGCCCCTTCGAAATTGTAAGTGGACGACAACCGGCCTTGCCCCATATTATTGATCATTCTTATGTAGGAAAAAACCCTCAAGCTAAAAACTTCACAAGAGAATGGAAGCAGACAACAGATATAGCCTAGACATATTTAGAGAAAGCTTCCATACATATGAAGAAGTGGGCGGACAAGAAGCGTCGCCCCCTCCAATTCTGAGCAGGAGATCAAGTCCTCATCAAGTTGAGACTAGAACAGATCAGATTTCGCAGTCGAAAGGACCAGAGACTAGTTCGAAAATATGAACGTCGGGTTGAAGTCCTTAAAAAGATCGGGGCTACCTCCTACAGAGTTGCACTACCCACATGGATGAAAATTCACCCAGTAATTCATATGAGCAACTTGAAGCCATATCACCCTGACCCAGACGACGACCAGCAAAATGTAATCATGAGACCAAGCATCGATCTGAAGCAAAGAGACAGCAAAGAAATAGAGGAGATCCTAGCCGACAAGGTTAGGAAGATAGGAAGACCTGTACGAACGATTCATGAATTCCTTGTCAAATAGAAGAATCTCCCTATGGAGGAAACCAGCTGGAAACGCGCCGAAGATCTAGACTCCGCCGCCACCAACATTGCCAGGTTTGAAAGTAGTCGGTTGAAAGGGACGTCAACCAATTAGGTGGGGGAGGATGTCACGGTCCTGCTCATCCAAGGCATGTTGCCCATGGCCGCAAGCCCATGACAAGCCCAAACCTTTATGTCTTTTCATATTCTAGTGTTTTACTTTTGTATTTCTAGGAAGTATGACATTTCATAAATATCATGTCTAGGCCTGTCTGACATGAAATGTCTCAGAATGTACTACAGGGGGATACGACTAGTTGTCAACTTCTCCCTATCCAAGGTTATATACTGTGAGTCGTTGTTATTTCTCTCTTGCTTGCTTATATAACGCCTCTTTCAAAAATCTCTCTCTGCCCTCGTTTTCTAAAACCTTCTCTTAAAACCGAGGCCAGAGGCTCGAGCATACGTCGCTTGGCCATAGGCGACGCAAGAACGAATTAGCTTAGCTCACTTGTCGTTGGAAAGTGAGTGCCGCACAATCACAAGTCCGCGCCATAAAAAATGCGATTGTGACATATCTTTGTTTCCTAGCATTGGCTCTTTATGCCACTCTCTCAAAATCTACTCCTTTCCTCGACCAACTCAAATTTATCATTAGAAAAACATTTAAGACATGGAGTGAGTACAACAATAAGTAATCAGTAAGTAATGTACTTGTAGGCTCTTAATGTTGTCCATGTTGGATTCTAGGGTACAACACTTCTTTCTTGATCATGAGACATATCTTTTTTCAATGTCCTATAAACCTTGGTCCTTTGGTTCGGGCCACAAGTTCTAAATACATAACATAATTCTATTTCAAGGACCTTGGCACGCGTCACTCAGCTACTCACCGCAATAATTTTCCATTATCAAATGAACTTTTCGATCTTTTCCAATTTTTTTACATTTTAATAACTTTTTATAGAAAACTCAAATCCACTTGGTTCCAAAGTTTTAATGCATCTTTATAAAATATTTTTCTAGTAATAAATTTGCACAAATTTGGCTAAAACTTATAGTCTTACCCTTGTTAGAGGGTCTCTTGAACTCCTTTCAACCGGCTCCTAATTTCTTCGTAAAAAATGTGCGAGAACTTATTTAAAACAATATATTAAAATTTCATATCTAAATCTATCATATTTTCATGAATCTAGACAAAAATTCAAGATTTAAAACCGGTGAACTTACATCTAGTTCTTCTCATTTTTGGATAGAATAGGTAGATTCAAGTGCCCATAATCAATCTCCTACGTTCTAGGAACCACTGCAAAAAATAATATAGTGGTGGACTGAGCATATTTTCTTTTTCTTTTCTTTTCTCATCTCTCTTTTTAAACCCCAACACTACTGTTCTTTTCCTTTCCATTTTTTTTTTCCCCAACACTACTGTTCTTTTCCTTTCCATTTTTTTTTTCTCCTTCTTCCCTTTTCCTTCAATCCACCGGCATAACAAAATCTATAATTAGGAATGGGAAAAATAAAAATTTTGACTTTGAAAATGAAAGAAGAAGACTCAGACAATTACATAAGAGGAAATTCATTCAATCCAGAACCTCTCCAATTCGGAACTATTCTTTAACGGTAAACAAAGACTTAAGGAAAGACGAAAAAGAAATTCTTTGACTGATTGAACTCGGTAATCGACTTTTTCTAAATTTTCTTTAATTATTTCTATATGAGTTTCTATGATTTTTTTTTTAAGCATTTTTCTCTCCTACATCAACTTGAAATTCAATCTATAACATTGTTAATAAAAACCTAAAAGTTCAAACTTAAAAAAGATAAATTAAGAAAATTTATTCTAGTTAGAATTCACATGTTACAAATTTTCCCCTCCATGAAAACTATTGTCCCCGAAGTTTCTTAGTCTTAAATTCCATGGTAGGACATCCTCATTCCAATGGTACATTTGTGGATGACAGCTTGTACACAATTCTTCGCAGCATACCCGATGCATCTATTAGTTCTTCTAGATACGAGGCAACCTTGCAACTTTACTTGGTAAATAATGGGATCTTTTTGTGCAACTAGAGCATTCCTTTCTTTTGGTCCTTGAGCCACAATCAAGGTCATTTATGATTATGTGGGTTGACTAATACTAATTAGGGACAGTTATGATACTACCCCTAATCATGAGCTTAGCTTGTTTGGTGAGGGTCTATTTAATATAAATGAACGTGATGTCACCCACTTAGGGCCTATGGTTCGTTAGAGGATGCTATTGAAGGAGTTTTTGTTGTGTTTAGTGGAGAGTCTGTCTTGCATTATTGAAAAAAAAAAAAAGAGAGACAAGCATCAACAATCAACAATCCCTGAAGTGTTATCCCAATCTATCTACAACCTACGAAGGTGCACGTGAGGTGTTGTTAGGTACGAAAATTCAAATATTTGATCTATAAAATAATGATACGCAATTAACTAGTTCGGCTTAATTATGCACAACATACTTTTAATACGAGAATTAAGGTTATATTATAACTCACATAGGTTACCATATTCTATCATTAACTAAGCATTTAAATATGGGGATTATGAGTGTATTTTATCTTGGGGTTACCATATCTCAACATTAACTAATCATTCTTGATGGGAAGGTTATATATGTATTTAACTGACATAGTTTAAGGTTGTCAAAGGCTATATAGAGCCTTCTTTTTCTTCATTGTAGACATCATATCTTCAATAATGAACGGAGTTTTTTTTAGCTTTGTTGAGGACTAAGTTTTTTATTTTGTCAATTCTTGTGTTTTAGAACTTACATACTAGAGGCATTCAAGTGGTGTTGATCAACACTCTTGTGGAGTAATTCGAATCACGAGTTTGTAAATGAGTTTTTTTCCTCTCAATCTTCATCATCAAGATAGTTCATTCTAAAACTTTCCTTGGATTGATTTCTTATCATTTTTGGGTTCTTGGATAATTTAGATCTAAAAGTCGAATTCTTAAAGTTAAATAATAGAGAGCTTGTTAGGTGTCACAAGGGTAGCTTCCAGCTGGCACTTATTAGCAAACTCGTATGGAACCTATTAAAGAGACTCAAAACCTCCATGCATGTTAGATCTACCTTAGAGCTTGCGACAAATGAGGGCACCCGACTTATACGTAGATAACATAATGACTT